CGCCCCCAGGCCCCGGGCCCCGGCCGGCGGTCAGTGCGCAGACGAGCCAGCTGGACGATGGAGCCCTGGCTGGTGGCCGACGGGCCGAAGCTGCTGCTGTGGGGCGCGGAGACGGCCGCGTACCTGGCGGGGGCCACCCTCCTGCTGAGCCTGCTGCAGCTGCTGGCGAAGTACGCGCAGAAATGGCAGCAAATGAGGGCCATCCCCACCGTGGCGTACGCCTTCCCGCTGGTGGGCCACTCGCTGCTGATGAAGGCGGACGGGCAAGGTAGGCACCACGCCCAGGCGGGCACCCCCGCAGCCCGAGGGTGGCGGCACCCTGGCTGCGAGCGCCCCAGATGTCCCTCCGCCAGCAAGGTCCCGCAGACCCTGTGGGCTGTCCCATTCCGCTACCATTCGCTTGGGGCGTTGGCTGATTAAGAGGCAGAAAGCTCCGCTCCTTGGTCAACCCCGCTAGCGCCCCGCTCCTATCCCATCCCACCACCCCATAATGAACTTTTGTTTGTGTCTCCCATAGAATGCAGTGTTTCCAAACGCTTCTCCTTCTGCTGTTTCTCTTCCCCTTCCCTTCCGGGTGATCGCTGTGGTCTCAGACAGGCTGCCTGTCGGAGCTCTCTCTGAGCTTAAAGTTTATCCTTGGAACTCCGCAAACGCTCGCTCATCCATCGCTTCTTTGCCCCCCTGCCCCTCCCTTCTGTTTGGGAGAAAAAAGGACCCGGATGCTTGGGTCCAGTTGGGACTTTACTTTCTTTCCCTCCCGATTTCATAAGACTTGATAAATAATTTCTTCATGACCTTTATATTTTAGCCCTCTCGAGATTTCATAACCACAGTGGAAAAGCTACCATGGTAAGATTTTTTGCTAAATTACTCGGCAAATTTCTAAAGCCTTGTTTATGGAAGAACGGATGGCTTTTCTTTTCACAATCATTTTATTGGGGGCGCTTACAGCTCTTATCACAGTCCATACATATATTCATTTGTCAAAGTCATCTGTACATATGATGTCATCATCTTTTTCAAAGCATTCTCTTTCTACTGGAGCCCCTGGCTTCATTCTTCATTTGTTTTTCATTGACATTCTTCTCTTTTTAATGATAAACTTCGACTTTGTTTTGTTAATTGGAAAAGAAAATCACTTTAATCTAGCAAACTGCAGAGTACCTGGAGACCGCATTTGAACTGCATTACCCCATCCGTGAGAGCCACTCGGTCCTCCAAAGCATCTCATTGACCCTGGACTGCCAAGGTGTGCTGGGCACCACGTCTTTTAAAATAGCCCCAGGCCTTGATGCACACCTAACCTATACATAAAACTCTCTCTTGTACATGAAAAAAAAAATAGACCCAGGACCACAGCTCGGTCCCTCCCCAGGTTAATTGATAAAAATTGTCATGAAGGCAAAGCAGTCACTCTGCTGGAAGGATTATTTGACACTTTACTACTTCTTTTCCCCAATAAACATAATGCAGCCATTTCAACTTCACAGGAAAAAGATGAGCCCTCAAGGGAAAGTGGTTTTAAAAGCTACTGAAAATGTGTTCCAGGAGAAAAGATTCAAGAGAACTCTGTACTATATGTAAGATAAACCGAGGCACGGAGACAGACAAACATAACTGACAGGACAAAGGGAGAGCAGAAACAGAAATAACTTATTAGAGGGAAGCTCCCGAATGAGGTACTGTGGGCTAGCAAGTGGCTCAGGGATGTGGTGCCCAGTGGTCAGGGTGCAGGGTTTTTAAAAGAAGGTGCCTGGCAGTGGGGAAACCATCGGAGGTGATAGGGGTTGCAAGCATCCTGAAAACAGTTTGTGAGCTTCTTGCGGTGTGTGTACCAGAACACGAAGTTCCACTCCCTGAGCCTGTTTGTTCCGTCTTGGCTCTGTTTGACCTGGCCAGTTTTCAGCTTCGAAGGGGGCCCTTCAATTCGCCCGCCTGACTCCGTCCAGATACTAAACAAGCACTCACGCAACTGCTGTTTCAAGTGATCCAGCAACACATTCAAAAAATACCAAAACAACATATGAAAAGGTTAGCTTGGTTAATATTAAAAGCAGAGATAACCTCCCTTTATAGCCTAAGTCTTCATGCCATGAATATAGGTGTGTTGAGTTATAGACACCACTGTCTTCCTCCTAGAAGTGATACAATTAAGATGTCTCATCATCTTTTGCTGGGGAATTATTTATAAGAGTTGAAATCTCTATTGAATAAGGCCTGTTGCAAAAAATTTGTGAACATATTAGAATCTCTAAATTAATGTTATTTGAAGTTACTTTCTGAGGGGAAAGAATGCCAATACATTGTCTTTTATCAAAGGTAGACTTTTCAGCAAGTACTGGATTTGGGCATCAAATGATCCCTCTGTTCCACTTCCAACTTTTTAACCAACACGTTGTTTAATTTTGAGTAAGCTACATGAAACAGTCACAGTGTTCTTCTTTTTCTTTCCTTGTAAGAGTAACTATGTGGCTTCCCTATAAGGATCTACATGTGACCTCCTCCCTGGGGGACGGACAACAGAAAAGCGGGTGAAGGGAGATGTCGGACAGGGCAAGATATGACAAAATAATAATTTATAAATTATCAAGGCTTCATGAGGAAAGGGGAGCGGGGAGGGAAGGAAAAAATGAGGAGCTGATGCCAGGGGCTTAGGTGGAGAGCAAATGTTTTGAGAATGATGAGGGCAATGAATGTAAAAATGTGCTTTACACAATTGATGTATGTATGGATTGTGATAAAAAAGAAAGAAATATCCATATTGTATCAAGTAGAAAGATAATGTTTTGAAAATGATGATGGCAACATATGCACAAGTTTGTTTGATATAATTGATTCATGGATTGTTTTAACATCTGTAAGAGCCCCCAATAAAATGGTTTAAAAAAAAAAGAGTAACTATATTGCAGCTATTTTTAGGATCAAATTTAAGGCTTGCAACAATTCCCAACCAATGTCTAGAATTTAGTTCCCCCCAAAATCCCCGAAACCAAAACTTGCCATTCAATTATTTATATATCAGTCAAACATTTATTGAGCTCCTTTTTTTTTAAATCTCACCTAGCAAAGTTAAAATAGGAAACCCTTTTCAGGTCTACTTCTTGTCTGCAGTAGCCTTGTCTCTTATATAAAAGACTGTGTCCATCATGCTGTGGATACTGCCTATCCAAATTCTGAGCTAAGTCATCTCACCTGGAATAGTGCAGTTGGTGTCCAATTGACCTCACAAATCCTGATCTCTTGGTTCTGCAGCCCTTTGTGTCAGCTTCTACCTTCCCCATTTCCTAATCTGTAAAGCCTGATATTTTCATATCGCTGCTTCTGACTTCTTTGGCTCCTCTGTCAGATAAGACGGAGTCAATGCAGCATATTAGCATGAAGCAAGATATGGTAACATGGATGATTTGACCTAACTATTTTCAGAGCCCTTTTGACTATTTTTTCCATTTAAAACAAATTATTATTTTATTTATGACTGAGAGTGTGGTGCAATAGTATGAGATGGCCAGTTCTGGTGGCTGGTTGCCTTAGGCACAAAGCCGGGCTCACCTCCTTACTCGCTGAGTAATTGTGCACATTTCTTCCACTGTTAAAAGACCGGAATACTAGTACCCTGCCTGTAGCCACTCAAGGAAAATTATTCCTCACCAGAAATGCTTAGTCAAGCCCTACAGGCTATAGAAGAAAAGCAAACCCATGACTCTCCAGGGCTCGAGTTTCCTCTCCCACCGTTACGAACCCCAACGCCTATGCATTTCCTACATCATGCTTCGTGACGTGGTAGATGCTTGCACTGCTGCTGGGTTCTCTCTGCTGATAGGTGGGTCTTCTCCCTCGTCCCACAGCGATTCTGTGCTGCCTGTCTCATTCAATTCGGTCTTCTTTTGTGAAATTCCTCTACTGTTTCAACCCAAACCACTAACTCCTCAGACTTAAACTTCCATTGTCACACCCTTTCCATTTGCCTAGTATTGGGAAGAATTACAGCGGCGACTCTTCCCTGAAATGTTAAGTTCCTTGAGGATAAGAATCAGATCCTTTTGAGAAATGCCAAGGTTATAGGAATGTATGGGTGACCTAAGTTGCTTCTATCATAATCATTCCTCGTTTCCAGGAGTGTAACAGAAAAATGATGGAATTACCGTATATACTCAAGTATCCACCGAGTTATCTCAGCACATTTTTTATGTTGAAAACGCTCTCCAGTTTTTTATGGTAAAATTAGGTTCCTCGGTTTATACTCGAATATATGCAGTAACTTTGAAACCCCCATATCAAATCCCTACATTGCCCTCAGTATTAATTGGCTCAATTAGTCTTATGTTCACCTCCACATTTTGTTACATTTCCAAAGCCCTAACTTTAACTCTTTATGTTCTGACCTATTTTCCGTATATTAAAGCAGAGAGCGAGAACAGCTAATGATTTCTTTCTTTGTGTGTGGCCTCTGTAACTTAACATTTTGAAACCTGACTGCACTTTTCCTACCCTCAAGCTCTAGAAGCATAACACGCTTGTTGCTCAAGTATTTTGAAATCATTTCAGACTTACAAAATCATTACAAAAGTCACACCGGGTACTCATGTGTGCCTTTCGCCTAATGTGAATATTATCTACACATATAATAACTCAATGTTAGCACACTTGTGAACTACCATCTTTTTTTGAATTTCACAAGGCTTCCCCACTAATGCCCTGATTCTGATCAGGACTCACTCAAGACTCTACGTTGCATTTGCTTGTTGTATTCTCTCGGTCTTCTTCTGTCAGGGATAGTTCTTTAGTCTTCCCTTCTCTGTTAAAACCTTGGCATTTTCTATTGTGCTGTGGTTGGTGAGCTTTACGTGGGCTTTGACTCCTGTATACCAGGAGAAAACATTGTCTGGCCTTGTGCTCTCTTGGTAATTGTTGGAGTCCTTTAGCTATTGCGCTAATCTTCTTCATTTAGGATTTCCCTGCATAGAGAGGGAGAAAAGGTGGAACAAACTTTCAAATTACAAAAAGTCCAGGCTTATAGAGTAACTAGAGACAGGTGGAATCCCTGAGATGGCCCTTAGTTAGTCTTCATAGCCAGAAACATACCCATCCCCATGGCTCAGATTTCAAGCAAACAAATGGCAGGTCTGTACAGGTTGTGATAGAGTCCCAGAGTTTCCCTTAGCATCAGCAATGGAAGAACTATCTCAGCAGTCAGTGATCGCCATGCTCAGGAATCTGTGAGGTCTTCTTGATGTTTTGGGTAACTTCAGTAAGTAGGAAAGGGTCAGG